CTGCATCCCTCTCAAGATGACGTTTTGGTTTACAAGCTTAAAGACATCTTCTCCTGTTGATCTCTCCTTCAATTCACAACAGAAAAACTGGCTTATAATTTTATCAGCTTTAATCATTCTTAAAAAGGAAATTAGTTGAGCTTTGTTGCTGATGTCCGTATTTTCATAGATTTGTAAGGCCCACAAGTGTTTGAGTTATTTTTTGCTTCAGCAACTTAAGAAAGCCGAAGGCGTCCGAATCAATATATTTTTCGCAGCACACCTAGAATATATATAGTATAGCATAATACCATGAAATAAGTTTATAAAATAGTATTGTTACTAAATATATAATATATGAAAAGTGATCCATTTCAGTAATCTAAATCACTATAATTCACTATTTTCAAAAAGTACCAAATTTCTCTTTTTCATTGAAAATTTGCTGAAATTTATTAAAAAAATAGAGACAACTTAATTTTATTGTGTTTTAATAGGAATCCAAAGAAATATTTATTTTTTATTTTATTTAACTATGTTCAATTAATAAATTGTTCAATATTTCCAAGCAATTGCATCAAGTTTATTACAATTAACAATAACTTAGAAACAGAGCAGCAACAATTTAAATTTTATATAAACATTATATATCGAGTGCCTCTTATATTACTATAAAATTATAAAAAATATAGGTCCCATGGTGTAATGGTTAGCACTCTGGACTCTGAATCCAGCGATCCGAGTTCAAATCTCGGTGGGACCTGCGCATTACTTTTTATTTCTTTTTTCCAACCCTCATACTACCCCTTATTTTTTTTTGCACTTGCCTACATAGTATAAAGTATTATAGTCCACATCTCCTTTTAATTCTCGGAACCCTCTGAGGGATCGCCTCCGGTTACGATTTTTAATAATCAAATCCCGTCACGATGATCGCGTTGTTTGTTCGTGATTTTAAAAATTATCAGATTTTAATATGGGGTTTCAATAAAAAAAATTGCAAAAAAAAAATGTTGAACCCTCCTTGCGTTCAACACCCCTTGTTTTAAGCAAAGAAAAATCAACAAACAAAAAATGCGAGCCTTACGTTCTTTGCAAACAGATTTTTTTTTGAAAAAATGAAAGAAACAATTTATGTAAAATATATTAATTAATACTTTAGTAATTGATGAATCTAACAAATTTTAGAATAAACAATAAAAAAAAAATTAGATAATAAGCGGCTATTTATTCTTTTGTCTAATTATTTGCGTAATTGTTCCAATAAAAAAATATTTTAGTTACAACAAAAAAAAAGAAGATATTTATATAATTATAATCATAAATAATTATCTAATAAAAAGGGCTATTGACCATAGGTCTTTCGCCTATTTTAGTTATTAGTACATCGAGGTCGATAGTTTTTTGCGAGGAAAACTTCTAACTCTTAATTGAAATAACTAAAATTATTGGTATTGATTTTGTTGAAAAATTCTTTATATATAGAAACAAACCATTAATGTAATTCATAAGTTACTTGGCAAGTATTAAGTAAATATTATCCAAATTTAAACTAAAAAACTACATTTTTAACTATTATATGTTATAATTATGTATAAACATATTATTTATTTGATTTATTGATGAGAAAAATATTATTTATTGCAGAAGCAATAAGTTAGGTTCTACCGAGATTTGAACTCGGATCGCTGGATTCAAAGTCCAGAGTGCTAACCATTACACCATAGAACCTTCATATTTTTTTTTCTTTTGGATCAGTTACTAACTTATTGTATTATACTTCAATTTGCTTTAATATGAAAATTTAAATATAGGAAATATTGAATATTATTGTTTTTAGTTAACCTTGTTAAATGTGTTCTTTCATAAAAACATAAATAGAATTGTATGGCATTCACAAATTATTCAATATCTTGGATAAATGGCAATCTAATCACAGAATACAGAAAGAAGGGTAGTTGTTTGGCTTCTTGAAGAGATGATGAAGGTAGTCCTCTTTTCTTAATATTAGTTCATTTTCCTGCTTTACATACAAATTCTGCTATCTAGGTCCGAAATTACAAAAGATTCATTTAGCGCCTCTTTGCTATTTTCAAAGATTAGCCAACAAGAGTAGCCAACATTTTCTTGATCTTAGCAACATAGCAAATAATCTCTAAAATCCCTGTAAATACTCAAAATCAACTAAACAAAAGAACAGTAACCAATAGTAAACATATCTAGTACATGTAGTAATTATATAATAATTTACTTACCTCTGAGTTTACAGCAAAAAATATTGAAAATATCACTTCGTCACAACACGCAAAACTTGGATATTAACTGTAAACTACACCCTGTTAAATTTCATTGTTACACTAACAAACGGGATTATACTTTAAGATAGGAATGTACTGTCTCGTATACTGTTGTAAAATTTGATATATTACGCGTTATGAGCTTAAATATTAATATTTTATTTCTTTACACTAAAATAATATTATTTTTTATAAAAAATATAACGTTAAAAAAGAAGTAATTTATCTGTTGTATTTTTTAAACTGTATAATTTTTATTAATGAACTTGTCTATATTATATATTGTATATGGTTTGATTAAGATAATTAATAATAATAGAAACTTAATACAATAAAATTATTATTACTTTTCTTCATATAGTCTTTTCAGTAGATTAAAAAAGTAGTACAAATTCAATAAAGAATAAATTTATTATATAATAAAAATGAATCTGCATTGAATTTACTGTACTTACATATTGAAGAACCTGAGAAATATCTATGGATTTTAATACACAAAGTTCAATTTATAAATTTTAGTTTTATTAATAAAGTTTATGTTACATTTTAAATAATGGACAATTTAAATATTCAAATAGAACACTTTTTTTTGAGAAAATTCCGAAATGCTGATTTAATTCTAAAGTAGACAAGTAGGAATTATGTATGGAACAATACATCTTATAAATTCGCTCCACGGCAATTGCGTTCATTTAACTTAATTTGAAATCTGGATTTGGCATAACTAGGACCAGATTTAAGCGATACAACATTTAATCTCCTGGGTTTGTTAACATTAACTTTTGACTTGAAGAAATCCCAGAAAAAGAAGTTTAAAGGCAGCCAATTCTCATCGACCACGGAATGCCTCGTACAATAATACCATTGTTTCACGTGATGTGCAGGAAGTGGTTCCGTCCTTTTAGAACCACGTATGTTCGAGATCCATACAATCCTTTTTTTCTTACTGGAACACTATATAATGAGTAATACATTATTATTAAAGAAATGTGAAAATAAAAGATAATTAGCATTTCTCAAGCTAATTGTCATTCAAACAATATTAGTTTTACATTAATATACTTCAGTTTTTTTTTTAAGTTCAAGAAAACATTAACATTGCAATTTGTGTAATTGTTCTAAAACTTCCTAAATATATAAGAAATTTATTTGTGAATAGTAGAACAGTATAGTTTTGCTTATTTATCTTACTTATTGAAAATGTAGAGTTAATAAAAGAATCCTTTAAAGATTTTTTATTTTCTTTTATTAGTATTAACGGGCATTTAAATCTTAAGAATGTTCAACACTAGTGGAACGTATTTTTTTTTCACATTATTCGAATTTGCGAATTGAGTTTGATTTAAACAATATTTGAGAAATAGTTGAAAATATTTCGTCTAATCCTAATTACAATGATTTTCTTAAAGTGTGTTTAAGTTTTTGTACTTTTCTATAGTTAAATATTTAATTTCCTACAACCGAATGATAAAGACTGCATCAACGTGCCGTTCTTTGATAAAACTTACTTCTGTCTGAAAATATGGTATACATTTAATTATTTTTTTTTGTCCAAAAATATACGTTTGCGAAAAAAATCAAATAAAATTAATTCATTCAAAATTCATTTTATTATCACTATATAACTATAATTTTAGTGTAATCCAAATTTAGTTAAAGTGAGATAAAGCCTTGTTGAACATATATAACTTTTAGACGAAATTTTACCTTATTTATATGAGGAAATTTATTGGAATTTCCTCTTACTGTTAACATAATTGATTCCATACATGTTTGTAATGTTATAAAAACGTTATCAAGAGTATTTCTCTTTAATTTATTAAATGCATCTTTCATATATTCAATCAATTGATCAGTTACAAGCTTCATGTTGTAGTGATTGAATAGAGTTAAAGACCCAAATCGGTAGTGGTTGTGACTTAAATTGGATATTCCAACCATCAGTAGAACCGTGATCTAATTTTTATTTGTTCTTCATATACTGTAATAGCAGTTGCAAGATACCATGACACTGTTCTTTACCAAATTGATTCAATTTGGCTTCTATGTAAATTCATGTTATTTGTGTTAAGGTTTCCTTTTTGAAATTACAGCGGTGAATAATATATTTTTCTTAAAAAAAAAACTAATTTTTGGTGTTCAAATTCCAATTTAACTCAAAAGCATTGACAGTCGTTGCGTTTGAGTTAAATTGCATATGTTATGTTATTTAGTTATCTATTTAAACAATACCAATATAATGAATATTGACAGTTGCTTTTGAAACTCTAGATAATATAAGATTTTCTTTCAAATATATACCATATTTTTGGATAGAAGGAGTATTACATAAGCATAGAGTATGACTAGACAACCTGTGTTTGTTACCAAGTTATACAATTTTATTGGTTACCTACAAACATCAAGTTACAATGGTTCAATCTAAGCGCGGGTCCAAATTACATGAAAAAACAATTTACTGTACAAATTTGTACATTGCTTTGTGTCTGTTTTCAGTTTATTTATACAAAGTTTTGTTTTGTAGTTGCAATGTAATAAGTTGACATTATATAAAAATTTTCAATGTATAGTGCACACAGAGAATTAATTTTATAGTTGACGTTTTAAAAATTTCGCGCAAATTGGATTTGATGTATTTCTTGTTGAGAATTTTTAGCTGCTTGTGGCGTCGGTTTATATAGCTTTATATAAAAGAGAGCGGTGCGCCTGGGGCCCACCTGGGGCGAGAGTTAAGTTGAGAATATTATACGTACACAAAATACTAAATGGATGTGGGACGAGGAGGGGGCCCTCCGATGAAAGAAGAACTTTTGACAGGTGATCTCTGAGCGCAGCGTGCAGCACGACGAGAGCTGCTCCCCTTTTCCTTGCAATTCCACGGTTTTTAAATGACTTTTTCAAACGAAACATTGATTGCGGGTATACGAACGACCACGTGCTCTCTCGCCGCACCACTCTTATGTAGTAACAACATCTGCACTTTCTTTGCTGCATTCACATCGTGTTACATTTTTCATTTTGCAGCAGGACTGAAGACCGAAACTCTGCAGAACCTGACCAAGTCGCAGCCGCATTATCCGTCCAGCCCATACCAGATACCGGAGACTTTCGATGGCATCTACACTACACCCTACCAACCCTCCGGTGGATGTTTCTATCCCAATCATCTATACAACAGGTAATCAATTATTATCTACATTTATATTAAAAGTTACTTGTCAAGTACCGCGTTCAGTATCTATGACTATTGTAGCTTGTTTCATAAGTTGCATTTCCAATAATAATTTTATTTCCAAAAATTCGGTTGAAAAATCCTGATTTAAAGTAACTTAATTGTTTTCTTAGCAGCAACATAATTAGGGTTTGCATAACATTTAATAAAAGTTTAATACATTAACAAAAAACAGTACAATTTTACTTACTAAAGAAAACAAAATTCATTTAATACTTAATCAGACCAGGCAAAAAACCTTTTGAAATTAGTCAATACGTATCTAAATGACTCATACTTCTTCAATTTTTTGTTATTTCAACGACAGCTATAGTATCTTCAGATAATAGTCATACTTCTTCAATTTTTTGTTATTTCAACGACAGCTATAGTATCTTCAGATAATAGTGAAAGATGTTATTAATTGTGTAAAAATTAGACAAACATTAGACAAGTTTTTTGAAGAAATTTATATAATTCGAAAACCGAGTTTTCTCCAACTTAATAACTTCGACTTAAAATACAAAAAAATATTTTGTAGGAAAGTTGAGATTCGAAAATCAGTTTTTTTTAAGTTGATCAGTGCAACTTCTCCATAAGTAGAATATTTCTTAGTTATTGCGTTAGTTGCATTTTTGGTTTTTCAGTAATAGAAAAGTTCCAAAGTGTAAAATGCATTTTGTAGAATTTTTCAGATTATAAACACAAGTTAATTGTTTCTCAAAATACTGATATTTGTTGTACTTATCTGTTCAGGATGTACTATGGAAGAACTTCGTTATTTGACGATTAACGAGATAATTTTCGATTTCAAATTACTGAAAATTACTGAAATTATCGGTATTTATTATCAAAATTTCGGTAAAGATATTGGTCGGTAGAAACCGGTTATTCAGTTTAACAATGAAACATCTATACATAATACAACAATATACAATTAAGTTTTTTTTTGTCTGGTGAAAATTTTTGATCTTTTAAACAAAATATTAGTTTTCAGAATTTTAGGTAATAAATAGAAAAACAGAGAATAAAAATAAATATTTTATATAAATATATGTTGATATTATTTATAAATAGTTTGTTAATAATAATATTGTGTATGGATGTAGATCGACGACACCCGGTGTGGTCCATGGACAGGTACAGCAGGCTGTGAGTCAGGCAGTCGCGCAAATCCCAATCAAAGAGGAGCCCAACGACAGGGAATATCAAGGTAAATCGATCAAACCTAATCAGGGTACACAGATTGCGCATACCGGGGACTTCGGCCCCAACAAAAGCTCCGCAAATTCATTTCGAGTCTAATTAATATAAATGAACTTTAATGGTTATACCCTACGCGGATCATCAACACCCCTCACTCTCTCATTAATAAAAGCTCCGTATTATATGCAATATTATAATCCATCTAGATATTAGCATTTTGACTCTTATTTAATAATAAATTATCTACAAAATTAAAAAAAAAAACGAAAAATATTTTATATCTAAGATTGTAATAAATATGCAATAGCTCTGAAGCTTAAATGTAAACAGTATGGGTGTAAAGACTGCGCTCAATAGTATGTATGTGTATGTACAATAAATTTTGTATATTTTTAAAAATAAATTTATAGATTCATGAATATATTGAAAAATATATAATTAATTTACTCTACATCTTTCAGTAACTAGATATAATTCAGAAATATTCTGTTTATTTTTCCATATGCATAATATTGGGTGAAGTAAAAAGTTTTGAGCGTTTTTCGTTAGATCTCATGATGTATACGTTGCATCTTGTCATTCTATACTGCGACTTAAAGGCGACATAACACTTTTAAAAAAGTTCTTCGACAGTTTTGTGTTTAGTGAGAATCCAGTTGTGTGTTAAAGCATTCTAAAATGGAAGCAAAAAAAAGAGAAAAATCTATACATTCCTCAGTACCACTACGAACAAGGAGAAAAGCAGAGCAGGCGGCCAAAAAATGTGTTGTTTATGGACAAAATACAGTATGGAATGCAACAGCAAGGGTTGGTTCCAATGCTTCCGTTCAGGTAATATGGACGTCGAAGATGAGATATGCTCTGGTAGGCTAATCGTCGAAAATGTTGATAAAATCATGGAAATCGTCAGGCCGGCATGCGAGTACTTATTCCACTGCCCAGGAACTGAAGATTATCCAGAAAACCGTTTGGAACATTTGCATAAGGCTGGTCTCAAGAAGAAGCTCGATGTATGGGTGCCATACGAATTGACGCATTGCCTGCGATTCTTTGCTGAAACGTAACGAGATCGATCAATGTTTGAAGCGGATAGTGACTGGCGATGAATAATGAGTCACATACAACAACAACAGGCGAACAAGATCGTGGTCCAACCGAGGTGAGCCGCCCAAAACAATCGCCAAGCCCGGATTAACGACCAAGAAGGATTTGCAGTTTGTTTTGTGGGATTGGAAGAGAATCCTCCACTATGAATTCGCCAACAGGAAGGGTGTTGTGGTCCATCAAGACATCGCCAGGCCAGGCCACATCTTTAAAGACTCAGACCCAGAAACTCCGAGAGCTTGGATGTGAGGTTAACTTTGTTAATTTTATCGTCGAAATAAAGAGAAAAAACATTCAGAATTTGTTACTTCACCCAATATTTTATCATTGCAAGAAAATAAATCTATTAAATATTAGCTAATATAAATTATAAAGCATATTATTAAGCGGTAATATTATAAACAGTATTTCCTGAAATTGTCCAACTGCAATAAAAAAAACTTTAGTTTTTTTTTTAAATAGGAGCTACTATTATATATATCTGTTTGATATGCATGTCTTCAATATGCAAGTTCTTGCATGCTAATATTATAGTTGTTATTATTGTCATTATTTGTTGTCAATTTGCATTACGAAATTACAATTTATTCTACTTGTGTTATAATAATTTATATCATGTTATACTATTATACTATGTGACATAGCTTGTTCAAATTGCTATGATAT